GGCCCTGCACAAAGTTTGATTGGCCAAGTGGCGCCAGTTGCACCACTTCAAGTTGAACTATTGAGCCATCAAAGGCCCAATCTCGACCAATGCTCAAAGTCTACGCGTAGCAAAGCATGATCATATCGCTCGGCGACTTGTGCTTCCGTGCACGCGCAGGCTGGATTCAAAACTTGTGCGGAAAGCAGGAACTATGACAAATGGCCCTGCCTTGACGAGTCTCAGTGCATGACGATTTGATTCGACCAGGTGAAGTCTTGAAATGTCATTGAAGAACCTCCAACTGAGCATTGTACATGGTTTTGTGATGGAAACGTGTTGAGCCAAAAGGACGACAAACAGGCTTGAATTAACATAATAAACAGTTGGGTGTAAAATATATTATTGTCAAAAAATAAGTGTTCTCGCCGTACACGTATGATTTCTGGTCGGACATGAGACATACTTGTCGGGAATAGAACGCGTGCTCTCTCAAATCTATGTGATTTCCTTTGAGTCCTAGACTAGAATCATATCCCCCCATAAAAGCAGTCCTAGGATATTATTCCGAAAAACTTTTCCAAGAGGTTACATGACCCCTGGAATAATAGTTTAAGGCATGGAATATGCAAAAGGACTTTTGGACGACAAGCCGTGCAACCTCCATGGGCCCCTGTCATCTGTGTATAGGAATCAAATCGATCTAAAAAGCGTAACTTGCAGCCGCACACTTCTCAAGCCTTAGTTCTTCGTTTGGTCTTTGTGAAGGCACCAAAAATGGCTCTCTTCGCCTGGTCCCTACCAGTAGGTGCATTAAATCTATCCACAAATGCCCCTTATATAAATGGGAGGTCTTGCAGAGACTTTGCCAAAGCCCCGCTGCCGAGGTCAGGCTTCCTTCAGCCAAAACACCAGCAGCAAGAAGTACTTGTGGTTCCTGGAAGTTGGCACCAAGGAAGGATGAGCTTGAGATTCCACCCCACATTATGAGAAAATGCACTGACCCCGTGAAAGATTTCTATTAGGTCTTGATCCACAAGCACCCAAAGAAGTACCTGAGCCGCTCAAACGCCAATTTGGGCAATCACTCAATGCTTTGGAGACTTTGTTCCTCGTGTTCATTCAATCTGCTGATTTCTTCAAGCCAGTTCCTGTTTCGCCACAAATGGTTTCCAGCATATTGAGACAGCAATAGCTCGTCAACAAATCTAAACGCTGGTTGGCTCGTTTTCTCTCTAGTTAGTGTGTCTCACAATGTCTTGCGCTTGATTGGAAGCAATGAGACTGGCCAAGGATTTTGGATAGCTTACAGTGTCACTGCCCCAAAACATCCAAGGCAAAAGGAAGAATGCTTTCCACGTCCAAAGTGCGATGTGGTTCAAATGAGATAGTGAAACACGATCAAGTCTAGTCGGCGGCTTTTCGATGGTTGGGGAAATCAATGGATCAGCTGAAAAGGACAGGTGGATGTCACTCCTATGACATCCCCAGACACTCTTCAGCTCTGATTTTCAGCATCCAAGCCACTGAGACACTTCAACCCAATAGCGATGGCCTCCAAGCTACTAGGGATAGCCTCCAAGCTTAAGTACTGTACAAAAGTCTTGTTTCAAACCTTGTTGGGTATGGCTAGTGCTGCCCTATGAAGCCTACGACATCGAGAGCACTCGCAGTCCTGAAGCCGACACAGTTGGCAATCCAGGGACAGTGGTGGTCCATGCGCAGAACGCAAGAGCTGGCGATGGATGCTACGAAGGCAGAGTCAGAGTCTAGAGTCTAGTCACAAGAAGACTCCAAAGAATAGAAGAGACATGTGTGTTGAGTCCTGGAGGAAAATGAAAGGAAGGACATGGAAGACAATTCTGGATAAGCCAAGTCATATGACTCTCTGAAGTGTCACAATCGAAGGCACTTGCAAACTCTGCAATGGTGACCTGAGCTATCGAACTCGCAAATCACCAGCACCAACATGGACACAAAGCTTCTCGCACGTGAAATTCCCTTTCAGGCATCAGGATCCAGCATCTATCTGGCTTGTACCTGTTGATCGGGTCTTGAACTTGAAAGTCTCAAAAACCTTGAACTTGCATTGCTTTCGCGTCCCATGGTATTTCTGCAGCAAGTCCAGGGCACTTGGTACATTTGTTGCAGAACCGGCGCTCTCCATTTTGTTTTACCTCACACGAAGCCAGGTTTCAGCATGCCAAGCCAAGTGTCGCGACCATGGCAGCACCTCATGGCAAGGAGGTGCTATTGGTACCTGGCACAACGACCCCGTCCCGGCGCAACGACCGCCGGTGTTTCGCCCAGCGACACCACAGGCCTGTGGCTCGGAGGAAGCACCAGTCCTGCAGGCAGTCTGCTAGTAGTTCCAGCTTGCACGCTACAAGACAGCTTGGCTGCCTTGATCCTGTCTTTCCCGTCCAATCATCAGTGTCTGGCCTGGAAGGACACCACACAAATACCAGCTGTCTGCTTTAGTAGAACTAAACAAACAAAAACAACAAATCACAGCCCAGCGAAACATTTGCACTGATGCCACAAGCTGAGCCATGGGTGTCTTGAGAGTCACACACTGAGCCTGGGTCGGTACACACCTGGACAGGCAGAAACCACATTGCTCAAATTCACCAACGACCACGGGTGTGGTGTGGTGTCTGAATGTGTCTGAGGCTGCGGCTGCTCTGACAAAGCAGATCAGCATAAGAATGACTAGTGTCTGTGAAACGATGGCTTCCACCTCAGAAATGCCAAATAGAAGATGTTCGGGAGATTGCGAGAGTCCAAAGGGCTGTGAAACACCCAAAGCTCCTCTGACAATATACACTATATAAAAGTATTGAAAGTTAAAACCATCAACTGTCAACCATTCCATTACAAGTGATCCCAGCTCTCCTCCCCCCGCAAGAAAAATATTGTGGACCACCCCACTACACTTTTGGTTTGCTGTGCCAATGGCCAAGCATCAGGTCTCACTCCACTTCTGCATTTCTCCCACTCAGTAGAGCCTCAGCCCCACACCAGATTCATGTGAGTCCGCTCGTGCACCTGCAACAGATCGTCTTCAAGACAGAGCCCAAATGTGAATTGGTCAAAACTCCAAATCAGGGAGGCTCATCCTGCCCAAATCCAGGCCCCAAAGCTCGGCTTGAGGCTTCAAGGTTCCCATCTCTTCCGTGGACCATCCATTTTAGAAACAATAAGCTACTAGGAACAAGTGCATCGCTACTAGTAACAAGTGCCTTACTACTAGTAACAAGAAGCTACTACTATTAATTTAATTGAAACACGATGGGTCTTCGGCACCGGACCCCTTAGCTCGCCCTCTTCAGGGTCCCCCTCGCCGTCACCTCGCCTCGCTTCTGTGGAGCCCTAAAAGATGACATGTCACGTAGGTCCACCTCGGGGACATCCGAACGGTCCACTCAAAGCTCCGCGAAACACCGAGAATCTGGGAGAAACACCCAAGTCCACAACAAGAAAAGTGGCGTGTGTGGCGAAGAACAGTTGGTCGGCTCCTGTGATCAATTTGTCCTCTACCATCGGGTCCTTCAAAAATAATATAGCCCATCGCAAATAATACCGACTTGGAACAGACTGAGATTGTGCGGAACTATGGAGTGTTGCAAATGCTCTCGGAATTGGAGATCATCCTGCATTCTTGCAAGCTTCAGGAAAAAAGCATAGGTTTCACAAGAATGCTATAAACGTTGAGCCTTTCAGTTATCTGTCAAAAACATTCAAAAACCAGGGTGTTACCAATTTTTAAGCAACCACTTGATGTCACAGATTGCCTTTATCAGGGTGGCCCACAATTCCAAAGACAAGGGTCCACAACAAAAAGAGACATCCTTGTGGTGGTCATCTAGATTCCTTGGGGAGGTTCCAGAAACTGCACTCTAAGGCATCATGACTCAAGACCAAAAGCGTTGTCCGACAGAGCTGCCAAATCATCCCAATGATGCCCAGCACAAAGACAACAGGTAGGACCTGAGTATCAACCTACGCGCTCGTTTCATTTTAAAGCGGGCCTTCACTTTCGGAAGCATCTAACAGGCTCGGGGTGCTACGTTTGAAAACGTCCATCTAGAAGTGTTTTTAAACCTGCCACAGCAGTTGAAAGCAGAAAGAGATCCTGTACGTGCCTCCTCGCAAAGTTAAAGCATCCTTCAGAAAGCTCCAATCTCTCTCGAAACAAGCGTTTCGCACGTTGAACATGGTATTCTTGTTCCTGTTTGACGTGATCCATCTTCCGATGCTCCGCATGTGCTGTACGTGGAACAGCATCAAGTCACATGCCAAAGGCAACGCCATCTGCAGTTCGCTGAATGGACTGTGCGGCCAAATGGAAACAGCACCCACCTGAGCAGTGAAAGAATGGCGGCGCGTGAAATGAATGGAATGAGACATGGTGAGGGTGTTCCACTTTTTGACATGTCCAGACGAACAGTCTCCGACTGATAAGACAGTCTCATCATCGGGCGCATGCTCAGAAAACGTGGAGGGCCATGCGGAGCGCTGCATCAAACTAAATCGCTTCAGAAGTGCGCTGTATCCAGGCAGAGGCTTGCCGGCCATGAACCCAGAAGATGTGTCCGGAAGCCAACAGTTCATGCATCGTGTGTGTGCCCGTTTGTGCCCAAATTTCAACAACTGTTGCCAACAAGATCTACAACCCTCAATGACCCAACGCCACCCAGGTCTGTCCGCCTGTGAAGGCAGTGGCTGAGCTTGCCTGCCAGGGCCATGGCTATGACTGTCATCTGGATTTTAGACTAGACTCCAGAGCATGCAGCCATCACATACCAACAAGTCCCGGCCTGATGGAAAGACACAGGAAAGGCCCATTGAGCCATTCCCAAGCTGAACATTCCAGAACATGTTGGAAGGCTCTCTCCAGGATGTTGTTTTGCAGTCTCTTGCAAACTTTGCCCTGTGAATATGTTGCAGAAAACAAATACTGAGCATGCAAACAGATCAGCAGTCAGCGGTCCTTTTCCTCAAGCTTGGCAAAGCCTGCTTCAACCATCGGCAGATTGCCTGCCTGGCGAATATGGGTTGAGCCTCAGCAAGAAGGGTATTAGTATCACACTCGAAGGACTGACACTTTCAGCTAACTCTAAGCAGTGAACTGAAGCACGCCACAGTGCAACATGTCCTTTGGTCGCTCTGTTCTGCGAGAGGCAAGTAGAGCCTGAGAAGGTTAAAGTAGGCGTGGGTCAAACAATGTAGTTTGTGTAGTTCTACTGCACATTACCAGCATTACCAGCACCACCAGCACCACCAGCACCCTCCCTACCTTCCTGACATAAAACCCTGCAACACACGACGTCGTCGGTCACATCTGTCGTGTTGAACACTACCCACCTGCTGCAGGACCTTGTTGAATTGCTTTGGGCGGAGTGGCTCACGGTAGACCTCCACAATGCAATGGCTTTCTTCGGCTTTTAGACCCATCTGCCGTGCCTGGTCATCGCTCTGATTGTAGAACACATCCAGCAAAGGCAGTGAGGTCCTGCAAAAGCCCGTTTGTCGACTGTTCCATTCATAGGGTTCCTGAAAAATTGTCACGGCTTACACCCCTTTGGATTTTTTATCACCTGTTCAGCACCCGAAAGAGCGGGACTTCAAGTGACACCACTTTCGTTGAGGGAAAGTGGCCTCGGCCGATCCGTTTGGGACGAGTCCGGTCCCGCCATCAAAGCCCGAGTGCGCATTCCATCCGTAGGCCGTGTGGTCGCGATTGACCTGCAACCCCAGCAACGAAGAGTGGAAGGTCATGGGCAACACGTGGCCAAACGAAACAGGATTGGAGTAACCAACATGTTGCCAAACTGTCGACCAGAATGTTCATAACGAAGACACCAACACCACCACCGAAGGCTGGCCTCCTCTGCACCGAACGTGGCCCAAAAAAGGAAACTGTGTTCTGAGATGTCAATGCCGTCTAGATGTACGGTGTCAAGCCTCAGAGTCTCCATGAAGGAAGTGGAAAATCACCAACTTCTCCTCGGTGACCATCGAAAGGGTCCGAGAAAGTGTTCAGTGCATTACATCTAATCAATTTCTGTGAACTGTGAGCTCCAGCCATAGTGCCAGTCCAGCCAGTGGTGTTCAAGACTCTTGCAGACACAAACCTCGGTCAGATGTTTCTGTCAGAATTGGAGTCGCTGTCAGCAGGAGCAACCCCGGATGTTTTATATGGCTCTTCGACACCAGGTTCGCGAATGCGTTGCTCTTCGACGCCAGGGCGAGCCACTCGTTCACGGGGTCCAACAAGGCCCAGCGCGGCACCACGGGCTCCAAGTACCTAGCAACAAGAAGCTACTAGTAGCAAGTGCATCGCTAGTAGTAGGAAGGGCATCGCTATTAGTAGCAAGAAGTGGGCAAAAAGGAGATCTAGTAACAAGAAGCTACTAGGAACAAAGGGCATCGCTACTAACAAGGTTAGGAGCAAGAAGCTACTAGTAGCTCTTTCGGTGTCCTTTCGTTTTCTTGTTCCCTCGTTTTTCGTGGCGTGGCTCCAACGAGCCACACGTCGGCCAACAAGGCCCGGCCTTTCCCAGTGACCAGCCAGCTTGGTGGGACCCTGTTTCGAAACCTGAAGAATCTGCATTTCGGATAGGGCGCAACTTGAAGAGCTTTGAAGAAGAGATGGACTCTGGTGAAGTGGAATTGTCCTTCAAACAGGCGCTCTAAGCAACAGTGGCCCTCAAATGGATGGGAGCGATCAGGAAACACATCTCACGTCCACTTTCTCTCTCAGCTGCTCGTGTTCCTAAAGATAGGTAAGGTCTTCCCTGTCGCAGTGAAGCAGGAGCACCACCAAGAAAGTCGTTTCGTGAGAGTATTCTCGCAGGTCTTCTTAATTCAAAACCATCATCAGCCAACCCATGTTTGTCTGCCTTGCCTCATCAGGGCGACCAGCAAGGAAAGCGCTAAATGCTTGCTGGTCGTGAGTGTAGACCTTGGTACTGAAGAAAGTATTCAAGGTGGAGGGAGAGATCACCTAGAAGCGATGGCCTTCACCCTAATAGCGATGGCCTCCAACCTAATAGCGATGGCCTCCACCCTAATAGCGATGGCCTCCAACCTAATAGCGATGGCCTCCACCCTAATAGCGATGGCCTCCAACCTAATAGCGATGGCCTCCACACCCCAATAGCGATGGCCTCCAACCTGATAGCGATGGCATCCACCCTAATAGCGATGGCCTCCAACCTAATAGCGATGGCCTCCACCCCAATAGCGATGGCCTCCAACTTAATAGCGATGGCCTCCACCCTTATGGCGATGGCCTCCAACCTAATAGCGATGGTCTTCAACCTAATAGCAATGGCCTCCCCTAATAGCGATGGCCTCCAACCTAATAGCGATGGCCTCCATTCTACTTCAAATTAAGTTTTGTCCTTTGTTTCAACATCTCAAAGTCTTCAGAGAGCTTCCCACATGCTCATACATCCATGAAAGGAGAAGAAGCAGCCACTCCGCAACCACCTGCGCAACACTTCAACAAATCACTTGGAAACATCAGAACCTTCAGCAACCTTCAGAATCATACATAAAAAGCGGCCTTTGTGGCTTTGAAGAACACCAGGCCACTGCAAATGCAGTCATCAGCGAAAGAGCCACTGACCAAAAGATCAACGGACCTGGCAGTGCTTGTTTGGTCCTGTTGGCCCAGAGCTCAAAGCTATTTGCAAAAAAGAATTGAAGAGTGCAATGGTAAACCGAAGCGGCACCCGATTTGGATTCACCCGAATTGAAGCCTCCATTGAGCTTCGCCCAGGATGAAGGGAGTCGGGTCTTGCAGCAAGAAGATGTCAAAATCTAGCCTTTTCACAGATTGACAACAATGACAAATAAAACTGATAAAATATCTCATGTTCAGCTCTCACCAATCAATTTTTCACAAGTTCAATCCAACCCGTGTCACTCAAGTAGTTTATGGGTGTATGGCAGCGGTTTTAGGAGCCTTTTTACTCTTTTTAGGTCTTAGAAAAGTGGTGCATTGGCAAGAGATGGCAAATGGAGCTAGCTACTCTTCCAGGATCAAAAAGGGACCAAATGCTCCGAAGATGACTTAACTTTGCCAAAACAGTTTTTTTCAATGCAGGAAAGGACTGAGATAGAGGAGATGCAGGGCTACGGATCAAAATTGTCTTGAAAGAAAACGAAACCAAAGCACAAGTCCCCTGTGTGAAGCGATGTGCCAGTTGTGAACCAAGTCTCCCTTGAGATCATTCCAAGCTTTGCAAATGCTTGGACAACTGACTAAGGCTGCAGCCAAAAGACATCAATGTTTAGCCACAAATATATCAAAGGCCTTTCAGAGACCAGTATGTTGACTTCTGAAACGAGCAGTTCAGAGCCTTCATGCACTCGTCATACCAGACGCTGAGAACCCAGCAGCGTGAACTTGTTGAGGATTGATGGTGTTCCAGGCACACACCTGCCGGCACACCCATCTTGCCCACTGTCGGTGTCTCCGCGGACGTGATGCACCTGTCTCCGCGGCCCAAAGACAAGCATGTGTCTAGAGCTGCATCATCCAGGCAAAAGAGCACCAGGTTTGATATGCCTCCAGGTTTGCAGACTAAGAACAAGAAGCTACTAGGGGCTCCTGGCATCGCTACTAGGAGCAAGAAGCTACCAGTAGCTGATGTCTTGCGTCCATCATTCTTGAATCAGTGCATAGAATGGATGCCTGGCGGCCAACCTTTTCTTTTGGACCATCCACCGCCCACAGCTGATGGTGACCCCCAGTGCTGACCCACCCACTTGATGTGCTTTTAGAGGCGCCAAATGCTTCAGCCCTGTGCACAAAGCGCTGGATGTAGGGCACGTACCTGGCACCCCACGACCACGACGCCGAAGATAGCCACACTGTGGCGCACCGAGGGCCGAAGACCATGGTTATGTACAGAAAGTTCCTGGCCTCTAGGCCTCGCGCCTCAGAGGTAAATGCTCGTCTTTTCGCAAACATCTGGCAGCACCCTGCAGCCCCAGCACCCAAACTCCCAACGCACAGCCATGGACATCTCGCAGCCACCCTAGAGCAGCGCCCTGCAACAGCAGCAGCACCCAAGCTCCAAAGCGCACACAATCACTGCTTCCTTTACTTGAAGTCAGAACTCAGAACCCCAATAGCTCTCGGTATCTGGGGAAAGATGCTTCCGAACTTTTCAATCAAACTGCAGCCCCACACCTCTGCCCCGTTGGTGGCATACGGCTTTGGTATGCCCGCCTTGAGCTGCTGACATCGTTTTCGAAGAAAAACCACAGATTCGCTGGGTAGCCCGAACGAGGACAGACTTCAGGACGCCCAAGAAGGATGGTGACATCTTTGCACCTCACAAGAACGTGTCAAACCTGCGAAGAAAAGCCCCACGAAACGTCCCGAGGCAGCCAGGGCTTGGTTCTGAAGCGCCCCAGAGCGGTCTCTCCAGCAACGGGAAAGCACCTGTCAGGAGTCCCAAAACCGTGTCCAGTCGGAGTCCCCAAACCGTCGAGTCCAGAAATGGCATGCCAAGGGACCCTGGAGCTCGGAGGGCAGGAAGTCCAGTCGGAACTCATGCCGCTTCAGTGGAGCTCGAATTCGATCAAGAAATCCAAACCTGAGGAGCTCCACGCAAGCCATCCTTGAAGCTACCCCCCTCCCCCACAACTCCTGGCAAACCAATGACAAAGGCCCGTTTGGGCAAAGCCTTATACTATCACCGTTTGGGAATTGCCAAGACTCTTGAGGGATGTATACTAGAATCATCCTGAGAACCGCACATACCCCACGAATTGCAGGCAATCTCTTGCCAGTCACGTTCCTGGGAAAATCTGAGAAATCTGTCTCTAAGTTCCTTATCCCCAAGAAGCTCAGAACAAGGCGCGAAACATGTTGTCAATGATCACAGCATACTGGTTGACACATTCAGCCTGCCTTAGTTGACAGCCTAGATTAAAAATCAACCGACTTGACACGGGATCTGGCATGGACTGTTTCACACATCATCAGTTGCCGCCACCACTCTGCTTCAGGACATCTTTGCCGAGCGTCGTCTCCGCACAAACAGCCAGCTTCCAAAGGGACACCAGCGCAAAGCCATACGTGCACTCCTGGTCAACTGCAGGGGGCCGGGAGCCTGTTCCTATTAGGTTGGAGGCCGTTGCTTGTAGGTTGGAGGCCAGCGCTTGTAGGTTGGAGACCATTGCTTTTATAGGCTCAACTACACGTCCACTCCTCCATGCCGGCCAGCCAGTTCGCCTGGAAGCTTCTCCGGTAAACGAGGTGTTTGGCCTCATGAAACCTCACAGTCGGGCAGTAAAACACAAACGCCAGCTTGTTTGATTCACGTAAGTGCGCTTTCCTTTGATGAGTTATTCTATCTCTGATTTGCAACTGACCCTGCTGTCAAGGAAAAGAAGGACAAATTCAAGTTCCCTTCTACGTTGGTCTTTCGTCTTTCGCACAATTCTGCACACTATTCAACGTATTCCTCATAGTGTGGCAGAATCACACACATTACACATCCCCTTGCAAACTTTGATACTATGTTCGGTCAGGAAGCGTTAAAACCCAAAAACACATCGAACTCACACACTCAAGATGTTGCGTACGGAAATGACTTGCGGCTTGCCACGCGCCAGCCTAAGTAAAAACCTGAGGAACCAGGGTGAGTATACGTAAAGTGTTCTGACCATGAGAACCTTCGATGAAGAACCGCTGCAAAGGCTGGACGCATTTTTCGGTTTACCATCAGGGACCATAAGGAAACAAGTTTTAGCACTCAAGCAGGTACGTGATCCCAGCGTCCCAGGATCATATCAGCCATGGAATGCAGCCCTCTCTTGGTTGGACAACCAACTGCATCCATGGGATTGTCGTCCTGCAATAAAATTAACGTAACGGTCCCCCGTGACTCTAAGGGTTTCACACAGTTAGGAAATGCGCAATGAAAGGAAAGCTGCTCGCCACACGGCAACCTAGGTATCCATAATCCCAAGAGGCCAGGGAAACAAAGACCTGAAAATTGTAAAAATTGTAACTGGAGCGGAGGCCAACCAAAGCGAATGCGACCGAGCGACAAGGACGACAGAAACGTGCACAAAAAGAAAGGAACACACAATCAAAGGATTCCATGTGACTCCAAGGGTTTCACACACACACGCCTCCCACAAGGGAAGCACGGAAAACTAATGTTTAGACTAATGTGCCTGCGCGCGCAAAAAGACAAACGGATGAGGACATGACAGGAAGACAAGACAGACAAGGTGTATGTGGTTGCGATGACAAGCAACCAAGTGACCAGGAACAACCAGATGAGCCAAACCTCGTTATAACAACCTGGGCGACCTCAGACCTGGGTTTCGTGTACGGGTGCACGTGCACACTGAGGATCGGACCACTGTGCGCGCTAAAGAGAACAAGTCGTTCACCGACAAATCATCCTGCGAGATGATGCGTCTGATCATCACTGATGTGAAACCAAGAACGAATAGGCACAGGCTAGCAGGGCTTCTGAGGTGATGCTTAGGCCCACGGGGGGCGAGCAACAAAAGGTGGAAAATTGAGGAAGCCTGCGAAAAGATTAGAGCCAAGTGCGGTAGGGTGAGAAAGAAAGAGTGAAACAGATGTCAAGGGACGGGACAGCCCGGGAAGGGGTGCAGCTGTAATGCGCTGTCCGCACGCAGCCGCGGCTAGAGCTCCGCTCGTAGCCAGGAGGCCCTAGGATCTAGAGAGGCCGGCTCAGGGAACGCTCAGTAGACGAAGCCAATTACTCTGAAAGTTCAGCACGGCGGCGGAGCGCCGCTCGTGCACGGTGGCTGCGAACCACCACGCAGAGTTCTTGAAGGAGCGAGCTGTGCAGGATCGCCTTCACCTTCAGTCCGGGCCGCTGCGCTCAGTGACTCGCCTCCGGCTCCCACGCTCCAGCTGACTCAGCGACCATTGGTACAAAACGCACCCCTTGGGCCGCGCAAAGTTTCGCTGTGTCCAGGTGTGAGGCTTTAGTGGCAGCAAGCTGGTGGCTACCGTCAGGGCTGCGGTGGCCGGCCTGGCAACGATGTCCTGCCGCTGTGGGGCCGCGATGGCCAAGTCGGGCAGCAGGCGCACCGTTGTAGCTGGGGAGGAAGATGTCGGCCGGTCTACGTTGTTGGTGGCTAGCGTCTTCTGGACGCTGGGGGAGCAGGAGCCCCGGACGCTCCTTTTCCGGTTGGAGCCCGGCCCGTTCGGCCCAACGGCACAGGACATCGCGGACAGCTGTATGGCGCAGGGTTCGCTCTCCCCCGGCCACGCAAGCGCCAGCGTGGAGGGACAGAGTGTCCATGATGCCGTTGCATTGGGGCGCCATTTGTCCTCGCTAGCGTCTGGAAGGTTCAAACGGTGGTGGCGCAGCTCCGTGATGAACACTGCACTCTCCATCCGTGTGGGCCCACCCGGGCCCCAGGCTCCGCTTCAGAGCGCAAGAGGGCTTGAGTGGCGGATTGTTCCAAGTGTGTGCGCCAGGAGGCTTCGTCTGTGGCACGGGCAAGGGCTTTTTGGGTCATGCTCAAGGCGGCCCCCGGTGCCAAGGGGTTGGTGAGCATGGCGTTCAGCATTGTCGTGGCCACAGTAACGGCGGGGTCCACCACCACGGACGCGGCGACATAGCCCCCGTCAAGTTCTGCACACGCCGTGGCTGTGCTCCCAACCGAGGCTAAGTATGCAGCGGGGGCATCCAAGGCTGCCGATCTGAGACCTCGCCCGGCATATGCCAAGCCGCGGCCGGCCTGTTCTCTTTGGGTGGCATTGAGGTGCAGCCCGGTTATACTCGAAAAGGCCGAGTGCAACGCGGTGTTGTAAGTCTGGAGAGGCTGCAGTTGGGCGTGGGGCGGGTTGCATCGAAGGCTGTGCACTATGCACCCATACCCCGCGCAGGTGCGGAGCAGGCGGAGCCCCACTTGGGCATCCCCGATGCCAAACAAGGCGTCCAGCAAAGGCAAGACGGCCTGAACCCGATCAGCAGTGTGGGCCGCAAGGTGGGCCAAGGGGATCACCCTGCTGGACCCCCCCCGCGGATTGGATGGTGGACTGGCCAAACCGCAGGAGAGAAGGGCTTTCAGAGCACCAGGCAACCCACGGCGCTATGTGCGGGAAGTGGCAAGCCGCAGCTTGCAGGACCGCTTGCCGCGAGACGCGGTTGAAGGCATTGCTGAAATCAAGTTTGAGGAGGACCTTGCTCCGGTTGTGTCGGTTGCGTTGGACCCAGGCTCGCACCGTGTGCACAGCAATTTCTGCTCCCGCTTTCACCCCGACTCCAACTTGGGAAGGCCAGAGGAGACGGCGAGCTTCTGGTTGCACCATGTGGGCCAAGCATTTTGCAGTGAGGCGCCGCAGCACTTCCCCAATGGCAATGGGCCTCACCCCGCCATGTGGCTTGGGCACCGCTACCAGGCTGGCCCCGGCCAGGACGGGGGCAACGGCCCCGCACGCCTGCCCCGGACAAGGGAGGTGAGGTGTTCTGTGACTGCTTGTAAGTTGCCCGGGTGGCCTGCTTCCCGGAGGTGTTGGACTCGGAGGCCTGATGGTCCAGGGGCAGTATCGGCGGGAAAGCTGCGGAGAGCCTTGGAAACCACATCCACCGGGACCTCATCCGCTAGTGGTAGGCTTGCCCAATCCACTGCTGGCTGGGCTTGCGCGGGGTGGAGGGCCCGCAGCGCTGTCGTGGTGGCAGCGGCTTCGGCGCACAGGGAACAAGGGTGAGGTGACGAAACATGAAGCCAGAAAGACATGAAATTAAAGAGGAAAGAAAGTGTGTGTGAAGGGATAAGGATGAAAACGGAACCAAATGGAAGGGCCAAAAACCGATGAATCCGACCTTTGGCATAAGCCTCCTGCTGTCCGCTAATGCGTACTGAAAGGAAAGCCGCTCGCCACACGGCAACCTAGGCATCCATAATCCTAAGAGGCCAGGTAAGCAGAGACCTAAAAGTTGTAAAAGTTGTAAGTGGAGTGGAGGCCAACCAAAGCGAAAGCGACCGAGCGACAAGGACGACAGAAACGTGCAAAGTCTGCCGACCTAGCTCCCAGCTGCAAGGGTTTCACATATACACACACACACAAAAAAAAAATGAACGCTCAGCAGTCACTCTCTGAGCAGATTACCAGTCAGGTGCCTGCAAAGCTTGACGTAACTGCAACCTGGGGAGCTTGGCGGGAACCGACGTAACCTGCTTCACCGAATAGTTGATCATCCACTGCAACCTACTGCTTCACCTGATATTTCAAGATATAAGATATTTCACTGACTCTCTGCACCAACTGCTTCACCAAATTAAATAACCCTTCTTTGTTGGTGCTGTGTTTGAATGTTGTGAAAAATCATGACTGTGCAATGAGGCTGCCACCAGTCCAAGGCAGGCTCCTGCAAAGGCAAATTGAAGCCACTGCCACACGATAGAGTTCTTTCCAAGCAGGGGCCACAAAACTGCCGCTCCCAAACCTGAATCTCTGTGCAGCTCAGCTCGGGATCATCGTAGTACGCGGGAAGCCTAGAAAATGAGTGTCTTTCGCCTTGTGCAACCTGTTTTTCTGGGTTGTTTTCACATCTCAAACCAAGACCCCAAGTAGGAAACGAATGAAACACCATGAACCCCCCCAACGCTCCAATCGCCAACGCCGTCGATTCGCTTCTCTTCACGCTCGATTCTCTCCGCGCGAGGTCCCAGGTGTGGATCGGAGCCTGATGCTATCCAGCGCAGCCAAGACCGGCCAACGGGTGCCAAGCAGAAGCTCCAGAGTCAAACGTGTGCTGCGAAAGATCTCTTGAATGACCTCCAAGTGCTTCAGTGCTTGACAGGAGCAAAGAGGCCGAGCAACATGCAAAACCTCTTATGTGTTGTAGTGAGCACTCTTCCCAACGTTATCGTTTTTGATGTGAACCTTATCATTCCTGAGGGTTTGGGCACACCTAACAACATGTACTAAAACCTTATCATGTTTTCTGTGAACCTTAGCGTTTGAAGGTTTCCTTCACTTTACTTACTTAGTTTTCACTGTAGTGATGCTGCCTTCATCGGAGGTTTTGGCAGTTGCTCATATGATTCTGCCATCATTGGTTCGAAACTCTGCTCTTTCAGGCTACTCTCACACCTCTTTACCAGAACGACTCTGAATTCTGGAGTCGAGCAAAATGCTATAGAGCGACAGAGCTACACGTACGGCTTTGATTTGAGCAAAGCCCTGCCTTCCCCAACTCATTTTGAAATACTTCCACCCAATGCTTGATTTGGTTAACCCACTATGAGTCTTTTTGCGGTGATCGGACCGAGATTGGATTTTTAAATCAGTTCGTAGCCTCCATCGGCTTTGGCCAATTCTAAGTCATCAACCTGTTGCTTGGTGGCCTAATTGGAAAGCACGTCACGATTTCTGTTGTAAGAGGAACACGATGTACTTCAGGGCACGGAGAGGTCGGTGGGTTGGCAGGGCCAAGGAAGATAACATTCGCTGTCATTGGTGCAAGAATAGGCACCTTGCCCTTTACAAAGTGAGTGTGTGGGTGTGTCACGATGATAACTTAGTGTGATCTCATGTGCAAATGACAAACTTGGTTGTCGTCGTCTTGCTACTTTAAGGAGGGAAAGGCATTATTCATTTTTCATAACCAAAGGCGAGTTCCAAATGTGCATGTTTTGTGGAAGAGGATGCTATAATTTTGATGAAATGGCCCGAGGCCTCCATTTGTTGGACATCGTGCAGAACAAAAAACTATTTCAACTCTTTGCGTTTGCTTTTGGTGTCTTCCCCGACACAATGCTCCCAACCAATTTTTCAGCCTTTGAGGTTCTTCTCCCTGTGTTTTTGAACTTGTTTCCTCTGCTGTTGATTTCAAGATAGCGAGGCAATGGCAACATACTGGCTGCATGAATTCAAGTGCCAATTGCAATGCTTAAGGGCGTACCTTTAGGAACTTGCATAGCTTTAAGACTTGACATGGTCGGTCCCCTGCCGCAACTTATGGACCGTATGGGAAGGAGAAGCATCCTCTCATCCCCAAGAAAAATTCAGGGGAGGAGCGTGGCTGAGCAAAGCTCAGGCTCACAAGTTTCACTCTTTTGCCTTGTCCAAGACCGTGTCCTTTGTGTACTTATGTGGGCCCCATGCTGATGCCCAGTGCGTGGGCACGCACACTTGTAAGATTTCACTCAAGACAGCAGTGGTGTTTGATTTGAAGGTCTGAATTGCCAATTATGCGAAATGCCAAGGCGGCTCACGAAAGCGACTGTTTGCAACGGTGCAGATCTTCAATACATCACTTGCTCTTCATTCTAAACCACGTGTTATTCACTAAATAGAATGGCGATATGCAAACAATGCCATGTAAACCTTTTAGCATCGTCAACATATCGTATCCCATCAATATGAGTGTCTTCTCATTCTACTTGCTTTTTTGCTTATTTTTCATTATCACCTTTGTCGCTGTCTGGAAATCAGTTCCATTGCTTAGATTTTGAAACTTTCAGTAGCTTTGCTAGCTGCATTCCGTGTGCACGGCAATGACACGTGTCGGCGCCTGCGAAAGAAGCTCCGTCTCGGAAGCCGTACAACTCTCTGCCTGTGGAAACGGCAACCAGATGAAACGAAAAGAAAAGAAACGCCTCGCTGCATTCCACCGGTGATTCCATGAGTCGCTGATGCCTCCTCCTCGCTGCAATGGCCAAAACCTTGGCAAGACTGGCCTGAAAAAAGATGCCCCGTCAATTTCGGATGCGTCGCCATGTCTTTGGATTTCATGACACTCAGACATGAACGAACTGCGGCTGCAAACAAGATGCCCAGGAAGCACCTGCAGAGAGAACCCAGCAGTCACTTCTCTGTTGATCTGCTGATCACATGAACTTGGACGTTGTTGCTGAGGCACGGAGGCAGCCGTTGGTCGGCTAAAGTTTCATAAGCCTTGCAGGCGCATGGCAAAACCATTCAGACCTGCTGAAGCCCTGATGTTCCAAGATTCTCCGCACAATGCTTGAGTGGCTATGGAAATGCGGCCTGGACAAAGTGGACTTCTTGCAGTCGCTCTGCAACCACTTTTCTCCATGAAGGCAACTCATCTTGTTCAACCTAGCCGCGGGCTTTTGGCAAGGGCGAGTCGTGTGCAAGGCACGTCTATGAAAAACGAGTTGACAATCTGTGGAAAGCATGTGTGGTCGAGCCTGCAACCTCAAGTCTTTCCAATTTACAGGATCTTCCGGTTCCAAAAAGTCATTCCAACCTTGCAGTGTGCGGCTATTGATTCCATATCACTGACATTTCTACTTACAACGATGTGCATGAAAACAATGGTTTAACACCAGCCCGCAAGAGTTCTCAGTGCTGGAACCAAGAAAAATTGCAAAGGCAACCAACCGACATATATTCCACTCTCGAGCAAGCTGCATATTCCCGATAGCTCTCCAATTGCTAGAGCACTCTGCAGGCAATGTCTGAAAGCAAACCATGTCTGGCAATGAGATCACGGCAATCATAGTCCGGGAATGTCCTCAGCATTTACCATCAAGTCGTTAGAATAGCTGTCTTGGGATGTTCATCGTAGTCTTGCCTCCAGGTTTAGCATTTTTGCCATCGCTAACTACAGAAGGAACTACAAGGAGGATTGAATCCTGGGAAATGGATGTGTTGTGAAACAATATATCACAACTATAGTACTCAAATCCCAAAGCTGCCATCCCGTCACATGCTGATCTGCACAGTGTGTTTCTGTACGTTTGTGATTGAATCAAAAAACAGAGAATCAGTCCCACCAGCTTTTGCCGAGAATCGATTTCCATTGAGGAAGTCGCCCATCAAAGTCCTTTCAAACTGAAGTGACATTGTTTCATCTCCAAACTCAGACGTCGGTCCCAGTGGGCACAGGAAGGCGTCAGCTGAGCCAAGGCCAATGCCAATAACATACAGCTAGTTATGCTGCTTGTTTTCGAGTCGGTGTTGGATTTGGTACCACACTCAAAACAGAATTGCACAACAACAGCCCATGTGACACCAAATAGCAGTGGCAGTGACTGTTTTAGCTGCACCTTCGTCCTACATAAGACTGTGGTCTTTGAGCCCAGATTAATGGGAAACACTTTGCAGATGCACTATGTCACTATGCACTTGAACAAGGTGATTCCAAAGCGATGACTCCAAAGCGACACTGTGCCTTTGGAAACAACCACAATTGAAGTGATAGACCAACCCCAAAACTGCTTCTGCTTAAGTCATCCATTTCCTCACAGGTGCCCAAGCTGCAGGAACAAGCCAAAACCGAGCTAAGGACCAGAGGAACTATACATCTATATCTATAACTGATGACCTCTAACAGTAAAAACCGGCACCATGATGATAACATGCTCACACACCAAAAGTCTAGACCAAAAAGGAATTCAAACAGTTCGCACACCGTCGGATGAGTCTTACCTCTAACCACTTTGAGTGCTTTTTTTGTTCGAAGAGAACGAAGACCAGGAGTACCCAAAGCTGTCAAAGTACCAGCCAATGACTCAGGGCTCATCCCAGATAGTGCTTCTATGCAGTCCCTCGGTTACGACATGTCCTTGTAGAAGAAGGTTTGCACACCGTCGGAGTTCTTGCATGGAAAATTTTTTGCCAGCTGCGAATCGTTAAGCTGCCGGTTACTGTAGTGCGGATTGATGAAAGCTCTTTTCAGGGATGTCATTTGCTCGGCAGTGTGGCCCCATTCCTCTTTGATTCGTGTCTCAATCTCTCGAACATCACGCTCATGCAAGGTTTGCTAGAACCAAGTCGTCGGCACCGTTCTCTCTGAGTCGAGAGATCCCACAGGATGTTTTGGCTCATCAGGGCTGAGAGACCTTAAACTAACGCCAGAATCCCACCTGTTAGGCCCTCACACCTGTGACAATTGCAAACTGCTTGCATTCGTTGACCTTTCTAGCACTCACATTACCGAAATCCGGGAGTTTGCGTTCTCCCACTGTGTGCGGCTCCAACACATATGGCTCCTGAAGACGCTACAGACCAAAGCCTTTATGGACTGCGCCATACTTGGAGAGATTGAAGTCCCACCGACACTCCGCTAAATTGCCAGCAAAGCCTTCCTCGATTGCACCTTGTTAACAGGTCTCAACCTGATGCCAGGAAAGCGAACTACCTGGCAGGGACCCTATGCTGAACAAGCGGCCTTTGAGCAGTGCTACAGATTCGTCATGCCGCCATGGATCAACCTCCTCCCGAATCCAGGATACGATCTTGCAGTCCAACGAGTTGCAAATGAGGACCTGCGTGCAAATACCCACCCTCAGCAGGCGGCACTGCAGGAAACTTGGAAACCTCTTTTGTTTGGAGCAATTGGGTTCCTCCCTGCAGTGGTTTTCCCAATCATGCCTGCTTACCATTCGCACGTGCAAACGATGAACCCGCAAGTTGGTTGCCCATGCCCAAGCCTCTTCAACAGTGAGCCATACGATGCCTGGACATCCAGACACAGTACTACGTGCAAAGGGAACTACAAAGGCAACACAACGCTTCGCAACACTCCGCATGCCTGCTGCCTGAATTTCGAATTTAGTGACATGCACATTGTACTGAGAGTCCGTTCTTGCGTGATTCGATGGCCCCTTTTGTCTCACCTTATCTCACAGTTGTTTCACTCTTGCATGATCCGATGAGTCGCCTCGTGCCAGGCCTTGGTTTGTTTGTTGGTTTACTGTGGTTGTTTGTTTTTGCTTTTTGTTTGTTGTTTCTGCCTGGCCGGTAACTCACCTTCAAGCAGCACAAGATGACCTGTGCATTTTCTGCACACATGGTCTCCACCCGTGCAGAAAAAATTGGTTGATGACAATCGGTTGATGACAATTGGTTGGTGACAATCAGTTGTTGGCAATTGGTTGGTGACAATGGGTTGAGTTGGTTGGTGGCAGTTTTGTTGGTGGCAATTGGTTGATGACAATCGGTTGTTGACAATTGGTTGATGACAATCGGTTGATGACATTGGTTGGTGACAATTGGTTGGTGGCAGTTGGTTGGTGACAATTGGTTGGTGACAGTCGGTTGATGACAGTTGGTTGGTGACAATGAGTTGGTGAATTGGTGGGTGGCAGTTGTTGTTGGTGGGAATTGATTGGCAAGCGGAGGGCGGGAAGAGGAGGAGGAGGAGGAGGAGGAGCAAAGCGGGACACAACGCAAAAAAAATAAGAACACACGTCAATGTGGGGAACAACATTATGTGGGGAACAACATAAGTGGGAAACAACATTATGTGGGGAACAACATTGTTATTGTGAATCTTTTGAACTTGCAGATGTCATGTGCTTTGACATGCAAGCACTTTCAGAAAGATGTATCAATGTGTGTATGAACTTTTGAAACACTGATATACACCGCAGATGTCATGTGCTTTGACACGCAAGCACTTTCAGACACATGTATCAATGTATGTGTGTATGAACTTTTGAAACTGAGATGTACGGCGCTCGCCGCCTCAAGCAAGGGAAGGGAGGGTGGGAGTCTCCAAAAGATTGGAGACGAACGTTTTATGCCCGCCCATTTCGACCTTGCTGCCGAACCTTCCCTGTAACACACATCTGACCTATGCGTGGTACCACCTAAACAGCATAGTATGCTTCCGGTGAAAACAAACCTGACCTACGCATGGTCACATGCAAAAAGAAGGAGCTTGTGTATAATGATTTGTTGTAATATATTTCCACATAAGTCAGGTGAAGCTGGGACAAGGTCAAGTAAGTATTTCTCACCAATAGTGTACATATACATTGACCATGCCACGTGCATTTGGCTCAAGGAAGAGGTGCCTCAAACTGGCTGTTTCCTGTGTGAAATAGGTTATCAGCCGTAGGTTTCACTTCTTTCTCCACTTTTCGTCCCGCGCGCGTCCTACCATGGCAGGCTTCGGGTATCCGCCGATCATTGATCTGGCTTCGGATCAGGACAACATGTCCGCGCGCGAGGGAACGCCTGAGTTCGCAAGTTCCACTGCACTTGTTCCAGAGGGTTATGGTTATTTGGACACGCCTGTTGGGCCTGACATTCTCCAGTACAACCCTCCTACAGCAAGCGCCAGCGGGAACGCTGTGCCGGCCAATACCGTAAGTCAGACAAACGTATTGAACCAGCACTTGCATGTTCACCAAGCCCCAACCACCGATGCTCGGTTGATTGAGGCAGTTGCCGAAGAACGTCACCGGCACGCCATGGACATTCAGGGTGAACAACTCCAGATGGTGAGTACTCAGCGTGACGAGATGCGAGTACAGGGTTTAAGGTTTATGAACGAAACTGAACAAATGTTTCATGAGAATGCGGCTGTGAAACATGAAGCCACTGCTTTTGTTGAAGCGGCTCAAAGGGGATATGAGGCATACGCCGAGGCTTCCGCAGCTGAGCTTAGGTCCATGAAACAACACCATGAGAGTCAGATGTTAGATGCACGCATTCGTAGTGATCATGCAATCGAGAAGTGTATGGCCACCATCGAGTCATTGAACAACCACGTTGAGCATCAGAATCGGCAAACTGAAAGTCTTCATTTGGAATTGAAACAATCCATGAAGAAGCAAACTGATCTTCAGAACCAACTGACTGCTCTTCGGGACGCCAGGCAACAGAACGACTTGTTCAATTCTTGGTTGTCATCTACGTTCGCTTTAAATGCACATAAAAAACAAATCTGAAACTCTCGCACCATCAGCAAACTTTTTTCCTTCGGAATCGCGGGGATCCAACTGCTGTGCCTGTCAACGGCTGGGCTAGGCTGTGTGACGAATGGCAGCTTCGAGAATGTCGAAGCAGGATCATTGTTTCATCGTGCAGCTCTGCAATTTGGGGCACGAAGTGGCTTTAAGGGCGCAGGACGCGCCACTGTTAAGATTATTGTTACACATGGTGTGATGTAGGCCTCAAGCATGAATGAGCAGTCGGACCATGTCATGGTCACTGATGCGTCTGAAACCAGCACTTCACTTGCATGGCAGTGTTTGAACTTTCCACATGGGTGCCAGGACTTAGCAGCAATAGTTGCGTTACGTGGTCAAGCTCGCAAGCGCGACAAAGAGATGCAGCTGGTGATCAGCAGCCAATGTGATCTCAAGTGGGGCCGATCAAGGCCGGAGACAAATGCTGTACGTCGTCATTCGCACGGTGTGGGATGTTGAAAACTGGGGCCATTGGCGCAATAAAAATGGGAAACTTTTACACCTGAAAAACATTGCTTGCAATCGTGATGTGACTTGTTAGAGCTGCGTACGGGACTTTGACATGATGAAAGTTCGGTTCCGCTGGAGCCGAGAGAAAACAGCAGCACCACATGTACTGATCGAACTCACATGCTCGATAACTGTGACCTGAAAAGACATTGCTTGCAATCGTGATGTGACATAGCTGCGTATGGGACTTTGACATGATGAAAGTTCGGTTCCGCTGGCGCCGAGAGAAA